ACTAGGAGCAAGGACGCTACTAGGGGCTCCTGGCATCGCTACTAGGAACAAGGACGCTATGGTCAGGTGTCTCCAACTCTGTCTTCCCAGGAAGTCTCAAAGACTCGCAACCGTCATGGTGTCTCCCAGGCTGCCTGCCTTGTGCCTGCTCGTTCCAGTTCTTTCAACCTGTCTCAGAGTATGTTGGAGCCTACATTGCTGCGACTTGTTCTTAACCTCTCTTTGCTAGATTTTCTGGACTGATTTTGCATCCTGCTAGATGTGTCCATCTAGCCTGGCAGGGGCGTTTGCCTTCCTACTTTGTTTCTTGCCGGTCCTAGCCTACCTCCGTGCCCGCAGGTTGCTTGATAAATGTCTGCATTTTCTTGGCCTTTGGTCCTTTTTAATGCAACCCTGTCCTTCCTATTTACTGTATATAATGGTGAACTTTCAGATTTGAAATGAGGCCGTTCTTTCAATCGATTCCATCCAGTGGCAAAGCTCGTCAATAGCAAATTTTTCGCGTTGATTTGCAGCCGCGCCTCTACAAATACTTGTGTTTTGCGATGGTGTCAATTATCCCTGCTAGCTGTAAGCTCTAGAAGGAGACTCTTCTTGACAATGACCAGGCTTCCAATGCCATTTCGTTCATTCTCCCAATCAATCCTTTCGCCATGTTTCCAACTTTTGAACGAATGTGTGTCTCCCAATAAATCCTGAGGAGCACCATCGCAAGGGGCTACAAACCCAAATCGCTTGGGACAGGCTCGGCCGCGCAGAAAGCAACCCCTCTCGTGGCTGTCTCCGGCGGCGGGCTCCTCGTGTCCTGTGAGGCCGTGAGGCGACCCCGAGCGGGTCCGTTTCGACCGTGGATGCAGGCGGGGAGTCGACGGGTGGTTCGACCCGTGGCTCACGATCCGTCGAGAAAGCGAACTGCTGAGACGCAAACGTATGGACCTTGGCGCAGAGTATTCTAAACCGGGCCCCCCGGTTTTGAACCGAGCTTCCTGCTGGGGTCGTTGGACCGAACGTGCCCAGGTGCACCCAACGACCCTGCAGCCAACGATCCTGAGACGATGGAGCGGCTCCTTTTGCAGGCGTTGAAACCACGGGTGACGCGATCGAGCGTCCCCGTTTCGTGCGATGTTCTCTTCTCGATGATTCTTGGACCGTTGGACCCCAAACATTGGATGCTTCATGATATTTCCTTTTCATGGCTCGTGTGCCTTAGGCACAAAAGATGCTCGTCGTCTTGTCCAACGAGGCGAGGCCGAGTGACGAATTACTGGGATTGATACTGGGAGGGTCGGTTGAGGATGGGATAGCATTGCAGGCATTGCCTCGGCTGGTCGATTAGTTTGCAGCATTGAGGTTCTGTTGGTGTTTCTTCACAAAGCATGTATCCAAACATTGAGTGACGTGTGGAAGCAGCACTTGTTAGAGTGCCCGCCGCAAACAACTGTGCGAGGCACTGGCGGCACTGGCAGATCTATCGACAGAACACGCTGTGGAAATGCTTGAGTTTGTCCTTGAGAGGTCACAGGAGCCCCCAACATTCTGGTGCAGAGACATGCACAGACCGATCATGCAAAAGAAGTTCAGCTTAGAGTTAAGCTCTGGAGTACATTCGTATTGATCAGAGGCTCAGGTGCACCACGAACGGCTACACTGACAGATTGCGAACGCTTCACTGTGTCGAGCGTGAATTGGCAACTCCCTTGTTCCATGAGAAGACTTCTAGACTGACAGGACCTGCGGGATGTGTCAAAGTTCATTGTAGGTTGGTGCCTTAGCCTTGTGGTGGCCTAGGGACCTAGCGTTAGTTAGACACGCAAGAAACTCCTCTAGGTCTTCCTTATCCATCCTTATCCAATGATTTGTCATTTGAGTGCAAGCTTTCGAGTGTGTGTGTGTGTGACTTTGGTGTGCTTAGTCTTTTTCACGTTACTTGAGATGAGCTGTCCGTATTCCTTTTAAGTTCCGTAATCTCTGCATTTCTTTCGCAGGCAATGTGGCGAGGGGCTTCAAGTCCTTTCGACTGGGCCCCTTGACTTGTGGATTTTGCCATGCGGGGGTTTCGCAGATTAGATGCGACCAAAAGACTTGATCAGATCTTGCAAGCAGAGAGTCACCCCAGGTGTCAGGCGCTCTGGAGGTGCGCCAAGCCGCCGTATTTGAGACAACTTGCGCAAGCTTGGATAGCATTCCCAAACAGAGTTTTAGCGTCAAGCTGACTGGAGGTGATCCAGAGATGAAGATGTACATGCAACAGTTGCAGGCCGGAAGCTGCTTGCCAGCTTTTGGCATCAACTGTCGGTGGGGTTTCTCAGTGGTAGGGGCCACGTCACACTTTTCTCGCATGTATGTGATACTGTCTTTTTGAACCATGTAGTACCATGTAGGATCAAGACGATTGGTTCATGAAATCCGGATCCATCTAGCACGGTTCAGTTTGGTTTGTAAGTTGTGCCTTTGGCCTTGTTCCAAGTTGCAAGAGTTCTGTAGCAAAGTAGTTCTACATATGCCAGGACAATGGCATGCCTTTGGAGATGGTGGCGCAACAAGCCTTGCAAAGGGTGCCGGTGTCGCAAGCAGCCGCTGCCCCAGGGACCTTTTCAGCTCACCTTTTACGACCCTTTCTGCACCACAGAGTAGGTAGAGATCCTTGAGTTCGTGGTAGACAATCTGGCCCAGCTCAAGAATCCGCAGGGAGCACAGATTGTGCAAAGATGAGCACAGCCCCTTGCGAGTTTGCACATTGATGGACACATTCTTGCAGCCTAGGTCCAGCTACGTTTGCAGCTCTGCCAGAATCTCAATTTGAACAGATTAAAACCCATTTGAGAGTTGGATGTTTGTTTTGCAGTAGGATTGCGGCTGTATGTTCCATTGGGATGTGCAAGCTGAAGGTCTATCGAGCCTCCTTGGTTGATAGCTCAGTGATGCTACTACTAGCAGTTTGTGTATCCATGTCATATTCCAGGACACAGGCATTCCAACCTAGCTTTGGCTTTGCTGAGGGTGCTGAGGCGAAAGGAGTGCCAATATGCTGACACTGTCACCCTTTTTCAGTCATTTTTTGTTGGCAGAAGCATCCACATCCGCACGCAGAAGGGCGTGTGCTTTTCAGGGCAGCTAGGGTTATCCGCCCTACCACCATGTCTACCATCTCATTTGCCATCACATGTACCATAGAATTTACCACAGGTACCATGACCTACCAGCCTAAACAACTTGTTAAGTTTTCCAACAAATCTAGAAGCCAAATCATTAGTGCCAGCCTGAGCTATCCTGCGTCCATATGTAGTAGCAGGAGCGGGTTTCGTCCCTTACTTAATCAAGTAGGCGCCTCCTGGCAATAAAGAAAAAGCATATCCACCCTTCGGTCCTTGGTTGCCACGCTTGTTGGAGGAGGAGGAGAGTGGGGTTGGTCCCCCGAAAGCCGGGGAGCTCGGTGGATTTGTGAGGCCGGGAACTGGACCTCTCAGCTCGAGATTCGAACGTTGAAAGATAGGAGATGGGAGAGAGAGAGAGAGGGGGGGGGGCAGGAGGGCGAGAGAGGTGACGAGAGAACCATGTGTTGGTTTCCTTTTTGGGCTAAAGGAAAAGGCTTTTGTTCTGAGCTTCCAAGGTTGTGGCTTGAATCCTCAGCACGTTCCAGCAGATATCACGCCCTTGGAGAGGCACTCGCAGACAGTCACACACACACACAGTGGCGGACACATGTTCGGGTGATTCGGGTGGATTTTCAATGAAACATCATACGGCTGATTCAAAAGCCTCGACTTTATGAAGTATAAGTAGACATTTTACCCCAGATAGCGATAGCTATTGGGGTTCTTACTTCAAGTGTAGGAAGAGGTGCTTGTGCAGGTGCCGCTGTAGGGTGCCGCTCTGGGTGCTGCTGCGAGGTCTCCATGGCTGTGTGCGCTTGGGAGCTTGGTTGCTGGTGCCGCAAGGTGCCGCTGCAGGGTGTGGCTGCCAGATGTCTATGGCGGTGGGGCCTGGTTGCTGGTGCGGATTGCAGGCTGCTGCTGCTGCTGCTGCTGCCGCCCACAAACAGCTTTTGCTATTTGGGGCCTATGCTGGCACATTTTTCTTGATGTGTGCAGACAGTGTAGACGAGTGGAAAATCAACTTTGAGGGCACGGAGAGGACATCATAATCTGATAGCTCCATCCAATATATCCAAGCAAGCTGCCCAAATGCTTCCAATTTCTACCACCTTCAAGCGAGTGGTTGGTTTGCGCTCACGGAGCCCTCTTTAAGTAGCAACTAGAGGAAGGATTGTCCACTGCGCACATGTTTGCGCAAACCTGATGAACACTTTGCAGGTCAGACAGAACTTCACGTGGTCATTTGCAGTGCTTTACAGAGAGAGAGAGAGAGAGAGAGAGAAAGAGAGAGACAGCACACGGTCGACTTTCAACACCCAGGCGTGTGCTGAGCGTCAACTTCAACACCCAGGGTGAACAGTTGGACTTGGTCACCTATTTCGCCCGAGCCTTGACCGCCAGCCATGATCTGCACCAGATTTGAAGGTTGGCCCTGTGCATGTTTTCCAAGAGCGTCCAATAAGGCCCTGCGTTGCTTGCCATATTGGCATGCCACTGAGATGCTGGATTCCTTGCAGGCGAAGATGCCCACTTTTTCTTTGCCCCGTCTTTGAATGTACACGCTGTTGGAAGCCCTCAAAACAACCGTTTGCAAGGCCAGGAAGGGCTCAATTTCCAGCCCGTGCAACTACATTCAGGCTGGGTCTTTGCAGCTCTAAGCGATAGGGTTTCACGCAGGCTCTCAGGAGGATGGGTTGGGTCAGTTTTCTTTTTTCTGTTGATTTCATCTATGCACATATATATATATATATATGTATTATATGGAAAACATGAGAGATTTGCAAGCACCACCTTTGCCAAATCATGAGAGCTTTCGGGAGGACTCTAACGGTAGAATGCATTCCAAGCATGGTAAACAGAATTTGTATAGTGAATGACTTTGGATACGACAATGTGTTTGCAACTTTGGGTACGATGATCAATTTGCGGTTTTCAGCCATTCTGGCGCCCAAGAAATGGTGGGATCAAGAAGTCATTAGTAATTAGACACCATTTGTGAAATCGTAAACTGCCATGACAGCCAAAGAATCATGTTCGAAATCATTCAAAGACCAAGGAGAAAGGACAACAAGGTTAGGCAAGAGCCTGGCACTGGACATCTCTTCTACTTTAGACAATGAGACAATGAGACGGAAGGACGGCAATTTGAATATCGGACATCTCCGACTCGTCGCGGAAAGGCCGCTGTCTCCAAGATCCAAAAAGGCCACGGCCGAGGCGCAGGACGGAAGGGCGCGCTTCGTCCTGCGCGTGACGTGCGTGCACTACGGTCTAGGCGCATGAAACAGTGGACACAGAGCACAAGGGTTTGCACAGATTGCTCTTTGGCCTCACATTCTCATAGCCAAGACAGAGGGTCTTTGCTGCAAATGATGTTATACCAAATTATCAATCTGGCCAACTATTCCCATTCATCATCTCAATGTCCAGTACATTATGGCCCCTGCCAACAGCAGCCTTGCAACTTTGTTTCTTTTCGGGAGAGAGATCTTGCCAATAGTCATGGACAACATCATTGGATGTTGGTCACTAGGCTTGATCTAAAGTCACACACTGCAGCGAAGTGATGCTCCAGCTTGCTAGCTTGAAGCTCCAGAGGTACGGTAGATCACCTGACGCGTGTCCTTTCCGATGTCGTATTCCGGTGGGCAACTCCTGCGACAAGAGAGCGACAGTGAGGATGAGGGATGCAACTTCTTGTCCTTTCGATGCGCCAGTCTCACGTTGCTGGGCCTTTTTGCCTTCACAATTACCTACCATGTGTTGATTTTGAGCCATGTGGTGCCGTACAAATATGTTTGGGGTGGGCGACTGAAGAGTGAATCGAGCATGCTTCACTTCGAGACAGTTTCCCTGTCTGTCAATTTGCTACTTGTTGTCCTTGTTCTTCTTCGTGGAGGCTTTTGCTGTCAATCAGCCCCTCAATCTCTCCTCCGGGGACTCTGCCTGGTCTTCTCCCTGGTGTTTGCGCTGAACACTGTGGGAAACTTGTTGGCGTCTTCCTGGTTTGAGATGCTGGCTTTCACGCCCGTGACACTCCTGGCCTCAGTGGCCTTTTTCCGCTTGTACAATGAGCCAAAGTAGTGAAGCCTGCACCTTCTAACTGGCGTTGGTGCTTGTAACTGGATACTCCATCACCTTGATCCTCTGGGGACCTTGCTGAAAGGATTATTGAAGCCAAAGTGCACCAGAGGGTTCACAAGCTGCCCCCTGCCTGAGGCCGCACCATGCTAGCTTGGGAAAGAGCGTTCCTCTTAAGTGCATGTGTAACGTTCCTCTTTGAAGGAAACAAGCCCTCTAACAATTTTCTCCTTTTTTTTAAGCCAGAGGCTATGGTGGTGAATACAGTGGCCATGAGGCTCGGATGGAAAGAGATGGCGGACCTGTGAGCTTTGTATTTGATGCGTGTATTTTGTCTCCTGAATGTATACCGGCATTTTCAACAAGTTGCAAGGTAACTTCTGCATGTAGCTTTCATCATGTTGCTGAATATCCGCACAACATTTGGTTATTTTCAATGCCCAACAATTTGGTTCTTTGCCTTTCGCATCGCGCGTTTGAAGGATGCAAAGCGCCAAAGGATGTTTTTGCCTCAGTGAAAGCAAACATCGCTCGCAGTGACAACAAGGTTTAAAGTTGCACAAATCAAGCCCATTTGTGTACCGTTCCTACCCTTCACTCATTACAAATGCTATCCGGTGAAAAAGTGCTAGCTTGTGGAGAAGGGAAGGGTATTCTCCAACCTAATAGCGATACCTCCAACCTAGCGACGGTGTTGGAAGGGTATTCAACGGAATTTTGTGTTGACTGTTCGTTCTTTCCAGGTGGTGAGCTTCAGAGATGCGACAAAGTTGGCGCAACAAAGGGAGCGTCATGTGTGAGTATTCGGCGCACTTTCACAAAACCGACTATTCTTGGAATGGTCCAAAAGTGTAAAAGGCTTCCAGCTATATACAGGCTACTGGTTACTGATGTGCTCGGAACTATGGGAAGCGTGTCTTTTGCCAGTAAGTGCTTCGGGCTTCGGGCTGCTCAAGACTTCTACAGAGAAGAGAAGGTATGAGAGGGAGAGACAACCCTGCACATGTCTCATTGGCTCAATGCTTCCCTTTAGCTTGTTTCATGACCATTCGAACTGTGTAGAAATCAAGAACTCGGCAGCGAGATCATAAAGGTGTGTGAAGACCATTGCGAAGCATTTTCACATGTTTGTTCGTGCAAGGCTGTGCCAGAGATGCTTTTCCAGGCTCGGAGACGATCAATGCTGACAGTGTCCCGGCGCTTCGATTCCCATGGATGACCCTGCGCCAGTGCTGCGGCTGCTGAAGCGCCGCCTGCGGCCTATCTCCGGCAGGGCACAGCTGCAGGCGGGTGAATTCACCAAGTACAGCGTTGCCACTTCAGTGATATCTAGCAGGTCATCCCTGCTTGGATCCACAAGCCATTCGGTCCGTAAGATATACCTACCGGTATGACTCGGATATTTTACATATCGCTTGGCAAGGCTTTGCCAGCCTCACCCACAAGTGCAGGCAGGATGCTGCTTCGTTGTGTTTAGCATGGGAGATGGTGAGGCTTACAATGAGACTACCAAACCAAATCCGATTTCCTGAGTGGGTATGGGTATCCACGTACGTATACAGTAAGTAAAGTACATTAGTTTGTAAAGCACGATCGTGGAGCAGATGTCTCACTTCCCGGCGTTGTTGAGGCCCAAAGAACCAATGGCCTGGGTATCCAGCTCGTGCGGCGTTCACGGGATCAGGCTTGCAGTGGCCAAAGCATCTTGTGTTTGGTCAAAGAACGCAAGCAGGCTTCAAAAAGCAAGGCTTCACGACGTTTGGGTGAACAATTGAAATTGAAAGCTGCTTATTCATTTTCAGCGTGTTGTTTCCGTCATATGATGTCTCCACGATTGTTCCACGGCAATTGGAGCTGACCGCGATACAACTCAGTTTTTAAAATGTATTCTGGCTTACAGTATGGCATAGCCAACAGAGCACATGACCAGGTGAAGCAGTTGCTGCAGGACGTCAGGGACCAGTTGAGGCTCATCTTCTATCAAGTTCCAACTTTAGTTTTAAGATGTTTTAAGAACACTTTCAAGAACCAGAGCTGGTATTCAGAGGCAAATCTTGCTGTAAGCTGCCAGTGTTTTGTATGTGATTATCCTTGTCAATCGTGTGCGTGTGGCGCAGGTCTCAAATAGCAACTTGCGGGCAAACATATGAAGTACGTGGTAACACGGTAACACGGACCCACACGGCTGTGCGCTTGTAACGCGCTGTGTTTCGAATTATTAAAAGGGGTTTGAGAGCAAGCAGCAAGCACGACCAAACGTTGTCGCTGAGCACTCTTGGGGGGTTCACACGACAAGATTTGACAAGATCGGCCAACTGTGACATCGATGATCAGCAAATACCGTGGCCCCCACTGATAGTCTCCCCAGTCCTTCCCCGCCACACCAACCCTAATTCAATCACATGTCCAATCGATGACAACTCTTGTGAAATGGATGACAACTCCTGTTAAATCGATGATAACTCCTATGAAAGGGATCACAACTCCTCGGAAAGCAGGGACATCGTGCTCTGCCCAGGGGCTCTGCGGGTCACACGCAATTTTTAATATCACAAAGTCTATGGTGGTGACGACACGTGACACCAAGAGCATACGCCACGCAAAGCACTATCGTGGACATCATGTTTTGGTAGAGAAGTTCATCATAGGACTATCGTTTGTTTCTTTGTTTCGTAGGTCAACGTGTCTTACCGACGTTCCTGTCGAAGTGCCGGAGACCTTGGCCCGAGACGGCAGGGAAAGGGCTTTCACCATGTGACCAATACTTTGGAGGCCATCGCTACTAGGGTGGAGGCCATCACTACTAGTGTCTAAAAAGCAATGAATTCAAGAGTGTGGTTTGGAGGAATAAGCACTGTAGCAATTCCTAAGGAGCAGCTGCCAAAGAAGACTTCGAGCAAAGACTTGGAGGTCTTGGGTAAGTAACTGAGGTGTTTTGTGTTCTTGCTGAGGTGTTTTGAGTCAGGTGGTTTGGTGCTTTGGGTGGGTGAGCTGTGCAGGCAAAGATTAAGAAGGAGCCTCAACCGCTGGAGGGCACGAAGCCGCCCTCGGATCAGCCTCTCGAGGCCTTGAATGTATGATGCATGTATGTGCATTTGCCATGCAGTGGGATACCTTGCTTCAGCTTTGCTCGCATCCCTCTGAAACAAAACCGATGTCTTGTGCCTCAGTCCCTGAGGATGTGCCTGGACAAGAATTTTCGCTCTCCGACTGCACAAACAGCGGCATTAGCTCAGCTTTGATCGAATGCGCTAAACCTTTCAACCAAAGAAGAACTTTTCAACCACAGATGAATCTAGGAACTTAGCCCGATTTTTGTTCTGAAGTCTTGGAGCACCAGAGCAAATACTTTGAGACTAAGGGCCCTGAGCTTTGTGCTGCTGCCTCAAAGCTCTTTGTGCAAGAAGGCACCTGGGTGCGTGCAGCTGAGTCGCCCAGGCTGGGGGCCCAGTTTTGCAAGACAGTCCGGATGCCTGCGAGAGAGTCAAGCGAGAGGCCTAGGTGCTGTATATATATATATATATATGTTTTTGTTTCCACTGATTTCTATCGATTTCTCTTCTTAGTAGTGTTTGGCAGTATTTGCGATTTCTAGTGTGTGAGAACAGCCAGAAATTGATTGATAAGTGCAACAATTCAACTCTTGTGCCATCAAAATTCCTTGCATTCCATAAGGTTGTACCTTGAATGCGCGCAGCTACAGGCTGCTCGGAGGTGCACTAGAATCACAGCCTGCAATAGCATGCGGGTTGCAGGATTGAACCTTCTTCCAAAGAGTATCACTATGAGTCACAGATAGATCAACCAGAACAAATCACACTTCCAATCCCTATCCATGATGTCCCCCTTAGATTTTCAGCACTAAGTCACCAAGTGTGATACCGCCTGATTCCTAATAATCTCTGAGGAAGTGACGTCTGCGGGATGTGCAGGTCTTTGGCCAGAGCTTGAACAGATCTTGTGCTTTGGCAAAGGTTTGCTTCGTCGGAGCAGCTAGAGTCAAGCGGGTGTGGCATTTCTTCCCACTTGTTTCGCAGCAAAACGGCGGTAAGATTGCCTGATTTGAAGCTCCAAGTTCTTCGGGCCAAGCCACTGATTGCTATACCAGGTTGCCAATGGCGCAGCGAGCTGTGCAACAGGCAGGGTGCACATGGTTCCAATGAAGCTCTCCAGCAGCAGCATCTTGAAATGGTATTGCATGCGTAGAACTGCTGATACTTGGTATTGGAGGGGTATTTATTATTATTTTTTTGTTTTTTTTGTTTTTCATGGCTTCTGGCTTTTGTGGCTTTTGGCTTTCGTGGCTTTCGTGGCTTCTGTGGCTTTTGGCTTTTGTGGCTTTTGGCTTTTTGGCCTATCCATCTATCTGTCTATACCTATCTATTTATCTATCTATCTTTCTTTCTTTCTTTTGGCAGCTGTTCTCCTTTCTCTTTTTCCCGAATGCGTAGCGAAGGGTTCCCGTTTATAGTTGGGGGTCTGGGGGTTGGAGCTGTGTTCGCGTGGCTTGCGTCGTGTCGTCGTCTCTCGTCGTCTCTCGTCGTCTCTCGTCGTTTGTCGTCGTCTCTCGTCGTTTGTCGTCGTCGTCGCGTCTCAAATTTGCTGCCATTGGGGGAAGCTTTTGCAAGGGACTTTGCATGGACGTGTCACGTGTCAGTTTGCGTCGCTATTCCATTGTGATTTGCATGACACCGACATGTCGCGCAAGAAACGTGATGCATTTCGCTGCACAGGCACAGCGTTTTGTGAGATCCGCAGTTTGCTGCGCAGTGCCATTGGGATTAGCGTTTGGAGAGTCGTGTTTTTGGGGTGTT